AGGCGCCGTGCGGCTGGGCCATGGCGGCGCCCGGCGCGTACCGGTGCGTCGAGTGCCACGGGGAGGCCGCGGAGCTGTACAGGGACTACCAGCGCGGCGTGCTGCGCATCTCCATCTGCGTGAGTCCCGCACGGGCAGCCCGGGGGGCGGCGGCGGCGGGGGAGTCCCGCGTCCCCGGCACGCGGGGCACATGCGCGCGCCTGCCTGTGCGGGCGGGGCCGCCGCTCGCCCCCACGCGCCCCTCGGGGAAACGGTCGCCGTAGAAAAGCGTTTAATGCTTTAAGGTCCTAAAGTCTTCCAGAGGTTTCTAACGTTATTGTTTCCAATATTTTACTTGTACTCAGATAGCATTTATACAGAGTTGTCTCCAGTGGATATTGTTGGTGTATTTCTTGTAGTGTGCGGGAAAAAAGTAGATCGCTTAAAACCGTATATTTAGCCATGAAAAGAGATGAATTTGGGATTGAGGAATTTACAAATCTATCTCGGCTGAACCTTTTATTTAGTCTGTGACAGTGTTTCATAACATTCCTTATCTGTCTCCCCCATAGAAAAAACAGAAACCTCTTATGTGAACCAACTGTAGAATATATTAAAGCAATACATTAAAATAATGAGTTGTGGCATTCAAACTTTCTTCATTATTGTCCTTACTTTCCCCTAAATGCGTTGCCTTTGGCATTTTGAGAATGTTGCAAGTAGATGAGTTAATTTACTCATTGCGAAGCTGTAAACATGGCCAGAAAGATGTGCAATACATTCCTCTACAACTGTATAAAATTTTTGAATCATTCAAGCATTTCTTAAATCAAAAATAGAGATTATAAACAGCTACTCCATATATATTTATAACTAATTTATATTTGGGAAACAACAATTAGCTTAAGGTGAAGTATCTACACAAATCTCAACTTCTCTTATCAATAAGAAACCTGGAAACAACATATACACAAATTATTGATGATGTTGGAAAGAGATGATTCACATCCTCTTTTCCCTGCCCAGCTGTCAATTAAAATGTCTCATTGCTGTAGAACATAAAGCAGTTGAAAATTTCTGCAGACCTTTCAAGAATTGGAGAAATCAGCAGTTTTTAAGAGGAAAGACAGTGTAATAGACTTTAATTTCTGCTGGCTTTAAACATGCACACTGCAAGTAAAAAAATGTTTTTTAGGTTTTGTGTTTTTTTTTTGTATAATACATCATCTCTAGTAGTGGATATGGCTTACATTAAAACCATGGTTAGAGATGGTAGTAAAAGCTGTCGTCATTGGTTTATGACAGGAATGTAGATGGTTTACTCTGGATTTCTTCAGCTTGCTGTGGAGCTTCACATTCATCTTGAAATCGAGGACAAATTAAATGCAAAGGAACAAGTGTAAAGTGCAGCCATTTCACATGAGACTTAGCATCTTTCACAAACTCAGGTTATCAATTATGGTGATTACTTGGCTTTGATAATCTCTGAGGAAAACTGGGATCCAGCAGGTGGCACTCATTCCTCTTAGTATTTAACCGTTTGATGATTTAATCCTTTGGAGGTGTGATGTTCCATGTAAAATAAAAGACATAAGTCCCAGTAACTATGTTCATCATATATCCCAAACTACATTTTTTAAAGAGTAAAGAAGTGAGTAGAATGAAAGAATAAAGAATATCATTGCTGTGCCAAATTTATATTTTATCTCCCTTCATGTAGGTTTAAATCTAGACTGTGCTGCACTTATTCCTATCGGTCATGTGTCATCATGATTCACTTTCAGTCTTAGTCCTAGGCGCTCTTACATGCTGTGTTGTCACACCATCTCTAACTCATTCTGCCCGTTTCTGGCCACCCAGGAAAGGCTGAGAGGAAGAGCAGCCTGTATGATGAACAGGTAGTAAGAAATATGATAGCTCAGTTTATAAAGTGGAGATCAGAATGTTAGAAAAATCACTAAGATCAAAAGATTCCTTGGTGTGTAATCATCCAAATGAATATGCTTGTTACAGGAAAACACTGAGGTCTTGTCTATTTATGAGAAATTAATTTTTCTAATAGAGTATTTCTTCCTTTACTTTTTCCTTTTACTCTGAAAGAAGAGTTTTGTTGTTGCAGTGGGTTAATGCATTCTGCTCTGGTAAAGCAATACTATACTCCCTGCCTGAGGCCCAAAAAGTCAGTCAACATCACACCCTCAACAACAGAAATACTTGAGTACAGCTTGAAGGTCAGTGGAGAATGCCAAGTGTCAACGGCAGTGTCATAATAGGCCTGTCACTATTACAAGTATGAGTCATTTTAACCTGAAAAAAAAAGAAAAGGAATAATAGGAAGCTTTCTCCACTTAAAAAGTAAGTTTCATAGTGACGTGTAGGATCTTCATCATTTATATGAGATGTTTTTGTAACTCAGAATGTAGATCTCTGAAGTACAGCAAAATTGTCATGAAAAAGCTAATGGTATTTAAGAAAAATTGCATGGCCGAGGTGAGGTTAGATGGTGCAGTCACTTTACCTGATATTGCTTTGTGCCTGTTTTAGTCCATTCTTTGTCTGATTAGATCCTTAAGTACCACTACTCCATTTTATGAAAAGGTAGGAAAAGTGAGGAGTATAAGGAATGATATACAGTGCTACTCAGAAGTGAGGCCGATGGAGAGTGTCCAGATGGATGTTTTGTTAAGAATCATTGACATACTTGTGTGTCTCCTTCCTATTTTCAAGCAATCCGTGAAAATGCTGACATGTGAAGGAAAATATCTTTTGTTTTGTATGAGAATGAAACATTCCTTATTCTTGCCTCAGAAGATTAACAAGCAGAACGTTGCCATGGTCATCAACTCTTATATTAACCTAAGGACTTTCCTCCCAAGCATCATTTAAAGTCCTCCCTGTTAATAAATGCATCTAAAAAGTCTTTACCATTCTGAGAATGGACTTGTGATCCATCTTGAGGCTGAAGTAGCCAAGTTCTACCAGCAGCATCTTCTCTCCAGCCCTACATTCGTTTTCAAGATATGTTTGATCTGGACCATGATTTTCAGGTGGGACTAAATAAAATACTATCGTTTTGTAGTAAATCTATTCCAGAGAAGAAAGGTGTTCTCACGGCGAGATACTAAAAGCTTCCATCAGACAACATCCATTTCCAGCCCACAATATTAGAGTGCAATTCTGAAAATTCAGTATAATAATCACAGAGCTGCTTCAGTTTAGTTGCTGAGTTCCTGTAGCATTTGTTGTTGTCCTAATGGATGATAATTTTGGAGTGAGCGAGTTAAAATTGCCTCGAATGAAGGTAACTCGTGATGGTCAGCCTGTGACTCATAGGTCTGGCTCTACTCCTACACCAAAAACGTGCTGACATTTTCCCTGTTCTAAACCAGATGTGATGGTGAGAGTGAGTGTAGGTGGCTCTTCACGGCGGTGTTTTTGAAGTTATTTTGATATCCTCAAAACTTAAATGATGTATAAGCAAAATGAGGCATACCTAAATAAGGTATGAACCAGCCCTTAACAACAGTAACCAAAAATACTGTTCAGGTAACAGCTTTTATCTTATTAATGATGTAGAAACAAAGCACATGGAGCAAACCTGCAATAAATTATAGAGTCAACGTGTAGATACTATAAAGAGAAATTAGCAAGTATAACTTATCTCAAAATGGAAAAAAAAACATTTACTTTTTTTGTATTTTGTTGTTTAAAAGAGCATTTAAAAATGGTTAATAGTTCCAGACCCTAACCAAGGCAAACAAATTATTCACTGCAATATGTAGAGCTCAGCCAGGGTTCCCCTTGTGCTTTGTAATAAGAAAGCTAAATTGCCTGAGCAGGGCACACTTCATTTAGCTTTTCTGCTATTAAAAATAATTGAAAAGCTCCTTTCTGGCAGGAAGTGGGAGAGAATATAAATGGCATGAATGCAATGCATTTATGTGATAAAGTAAAGAGTCCGTCAAGAGTACAAAGATCATCCTGGAAAATGAAATATGTTTTTTTTTTCATTCTTCTTTACATAACTCAATTTGCAGACAACTGACTAGTGTAAAACATTTGATTTTGGAAAAATAATGAAGCAGCTTTCGTATTTTTTTTTAAATTGGAATGTATATCAAACTGAGCTGTTGTGTTTTCCAGCTTATTGTGACACTTAGCTGCATCCCTAATAAAGAAGCCATTTCTGAAAGCAGCACAGCTAATTACGTTTTATTGCTTAAGGGTGCAATTGGGATTAACGCTGTTCTCTCAGTATAATGGGTCCATAGCAGTTTGCCTTCACCTGAGCATTCTTCATTACCCTTCCCAG